TGTTGGTGTTGGTGTTGTTGTTGCTGTTGCTGTTGCTGTTGCTGTTGTTGTTGTTGTTGTTGTTGTTGTTGTTGTTGTTGTTGTTGTTGTTGTTGTTGTTGTTGGTTGTGGTTGTTGTTGTTGTTGTTGTTGTTGTTGTTGTTGTTGTTGTTGTTGTTGTTGTTGTTGTTGTTGTTGTTGTTGTTGTTGTTGTTGTTGTTGTGGTGTGGTTGTGGTTGTTGTTGTTGTTGTTGTTGCTGTTGTTGTTGTTGTTGTTGTTGTTGTTGTTGTTGTTGTTGTTGTTGTTGTTACTGTTGTCGTTGTTGTCGTTGTTGTTGTTGTTGGTTGTGGTTGTGGTTGTGGTTGTTGTTGTTGTTGTTGTTGTTGTTGTTGTTGTTGTTGTTGTTGTTGTTGTTTGTTGTTTGTTGTTTGTTGTTTGTTGTTTGTTGTTTGTTGTTTGTTGTTTGTTGTTTGGTGTTTGTTGTTTGTTGTGTGTTGGTTGTTGGTTGTGGGTTGTTGGTTGTTGGTTGTTGGTTGTTGGTTGTTGGTTGTTGGTTGTTGTTGTTGTTGTTGTTGTTGTTGTTGTTTGTTGTTGTTTTTGTTGTTGTTGTTGTTGTTCACGAGAGCTAGCTCCTTTGCAGCTTGAAGTAGTTGTTGTTTACAAATTTGGTTTGGGTCAAACGAGATGTCAGCGGGTCCTAGCTCCTGATGCACCATGAATATTTGCGTCGGCATACGGGGGCGGGGGTCAATCAGCTAGGAGGCCGCTCTCTCGATTAATAGGGCGCCCCTAGCTGGAGACCCCACCCTCTTCCCCGTTAGTACAACAGACAGCTGAGCCGCGAATCGGTCGACCACATGTTCGCAGCGTACATTTGCATAACTGCAGGCAGCAGTATTGTGTAAGACTGCTTCATGTTCACCACAGGCTTGTTTCAAGCTCTTTGTCACAAGCATCGACCGCGTTTTGCATTTCAAAGTTGCCACTGTTTCTTGCTTGAGGAAGGTTTTCGCGGCTTATAGGTTTTATGAAACCAGCTCGCAACACAGCACACAAGCAGCACTCGCTTGCCAGCATCTGCTGGCATTTGCAATGCACACTTCCCTCACCCGAGCTTTCGCCCGCTCTGCCGTCAAGTATGTAGCAATGTAAATGTGTATGTAGCTATCCATGTATGTACCGCTGCATGTGTCGGTTGGTTCATGAATGTACATACCTTCTATGCATGTATGATTATGTATGTAGGTAGGTCGGCAGGCGTGTATGTATGTATGTATGTATGTACGTATGTATGTATGTCTGTGTGCATGTATGTGTGCATGTATGTATGCATGCATGTATGTGTGTTTGTAATGCATTATAATGTATGTAATGTGTGTAATAATTATGTATGAATGTATGTCGTATGTATGTATGTATGTATGCATGCATGCATGCATGCATGTATGTATGTATGTATTGTATGTATGTACATATGTATGCACGTATGTATGTATGTACGTATGTATGCATGTATGGATGTATATTTATGTACGTATGTATGTATGTATGTATATGTCTACTTATATGTCTGTGTATATGTATATGGATGTGGATATGGATATGGATATGGATATGGATATGTATATGTATATGTATACGTATATGTATGTGTGCATGCATGTACGCTGTATGTATGTACTACGTATCTACGCATGCACGCATGTATGTATGTGAGCATGCATGTACGTATGTAATGTAACATCATGTAATGTAGCGTAATGCAAGGCAATGCAATGCAAAGTAATGTTATACATGCAGTGTAGCGTAACAAGAAGGGTGTATTGTATTGTATACCATGATTGCATGAATGGATGGATAGATGGATGGATGGATGGGCTGGATGGGTTGGATGGATTGGATGGATTGGATGGGTTGGATGGGTTGGATGGGTTGGATGGATTGGATGGTTTGGATTGATTGGATGGTTTGAATGCATTGGATGGATGGACGGACGGATGGATGGATGTATGGATGTGTGCATGTACGTATGTCTCCTTGTGTGAGTGCATGCAAGTGTGTACGTATGTATGTATGTATGCATGCATGCATGCATTTGCGTACGTGTGCGCGCCTTATCTACATCTGTAGCTATTTATCTACCTGCCTTCGTACCTACCTACCTACCTACCTGACAAATTACCTACCTATTCATTTATCTATCTATCTACCTGTACGTATGTTTCTATGTATGTATACATGCACAGTAACACCTGCGTCACATTCTTCATGCCGCATCTTATTGGTCCCAGCATCAAACCGCCACCTGCTACTGCGACAAGTTCACCTGCGTGGCGAAAGTGTGTTCACGTGGCCACGGATTCATCCATCCTCTATCTGGATGCGCTGACCATGTCATTTGCAAATTTGATTTCTGAGTCCGTGCACCTGTGCGTTCAGTGAAGCTGCTGGTTAAGCTTGTCTCCGGGCACAGTTACAACAAAGCTACACCCGTCTTGAGTCAGTCTTGAGTCTTCATGCAGATCGACAAACTCGTGGCCCTGAAGCCAAACTCCGGCACCCGAAGCCTGACGGCCGACATGGGAAGCGCTCAAAGCTCGTTCTGAAAATCCTCTTAAATCTCGAAGCTGCAGTTCCTAACATCACAACCGCAGCCAATCAGAGGCAGAGGCCCGGCAGGCGGAAAAGCAGCCAAGGCCCTGGGTGGGAGTTGTAGGTTGTATGGTCCGGCCCAGGGCCTGTTCAGCGGGAAGGTATTGCGTGGCTTCGGACTATCAGATTTCAGGATCAGCCGGAAACTGAACTTGCAGATGCTCTTCATACAAAAGAGCTGGGGCAAGGTTGAGATGAAACATTCAGACTGGTTGTTGGGCATTGGTTGTTGAACGTATGTCTAGCAGTGTAGGGCCAGGAGCTGTATGGTGCCAACACATAAGGTCTGAGTTGTTTGTTCGGCGGATGTGGGCTGAAGGGCAGAGGTCCAATCCTTCCGAATCTGTGCGACGCAAGGCTTTTGGGCCAGTGCTCAACGCATTTACCACCTCACAACTCAGTAGTTATGCTGCTTTCTGGCACCCGCCGTTCGAGCCAATTCTGTTTAGAGGTTGACCGGGTTTGGCTTTCTTTGTGCGAAATCCTCGTATGCAAACCCCTTGATGTTATGTCGAGACTCCGTGCCTGCTCCTTGCAGCACCCATAGCTGGAGATCGCGGGCCTTTGATGGCATGGCCCTGTTTGCACAGTCCCCAGTGTAAGACTCTTAGACGGCATCTCTATGGTCGTGGATCCCCACGTCCAGAAGAAATAGTCGCAATAATGCCAACACCCTTACTTTCGGCAGGAAGCGAAGGAACGAGATGCAAGACATCTACTTCTTCCAGTGCGGGAGACCCGGAGCAGCCGGGGGCAGATCACAAGGGCGCACCGTCGCAAGCACCACGGCACAATCACCATCGCAGGATCGCCACCAGCACATCTATCGACATCACGTTGTGTAAGCCGTAATAGTTGGAAGCTTGGAAAAGGTAGTTTAAGCTAACGCACTACCATTGACCCGCGGGTTATGCTTGTTTTTGCTTGTTTATGTCTGCTTCTCTGGTGTTGGGCGGGTGGGGGGGGGAGCTAGTTTCGTTCTGTCTGACGACGTCCATCACACCCTTGCTCTGCTGCTGCAGCTGCCTCTGCTGCTGCTGCTGCTGCTGATGCCAGTTCCGCTGCACCTGTACTGCACTTTCACAGTCATGTACTCTGGAGTTAGGTTGCTCTTGCGTTTGCAGACCAAGTTGCCTGCGCTGTCCCAGTCCTTTCTGCTCAACGTAGGCCCGAACCCGCAAACCCCAAACAAACATCCCAAGCGTGCAACCCCAAAACTTTGCAGCTAGAAGCTTAAAGCCAGCATCCCAGGCCCTAGCGAAGCAACGCAAACCCCCAAGCTCAAGGCTTAAACCCGATATCCCAAAAAACTTGTTTCGCTTGGCAGAAAACACGCAAAGCACTACTTCCAAACATGAAACAATAGCGAAACAAAGACCCCAAAACTGTAGAGGTTGCCCAAGCCTGTCTCCCAAAACATGAACAGACAAAGCAGAAATTGTCGTTTTCTTCGGTAAAACTGCGATTCTGCCCTGAGGCCCGCCTAGACTACAAAAGCATGGCAACAACGAGGGCCACAAACAGAAACATCGACCGAAAACCCAAAAAGGCCATTTTATCCGGAAAACTTTAAAGACATGCTCCCGGACAATACAGCCATCAAATGCAAAACCTTGCTTTCGCCGAGGCAAAAACTCCAAAAACACTCATTCACAGGATAAAACAATGACGACAGCAAGTCCCGAAAACTTGTTCGGTTGCGCAACGATGTCTGCCAAAACAAGAAACATCAGCGTTTTACCTCGGTAAACTACCATTTTGCCTGAAAAGGCACCCCTGCTATCGTGCGGGTCCTTTCGCGGGGCGTTACCTGGTTTAACGCCTCGCAAAGCGCCGGATGTGTGGGCCAAGCCCAGCCCCAAAGAGGCCGAAGCCTTAAAACGTCCCTATCAGCTTAAAACACTGCGACACAGAAACCGTAACTCCAATCACTCTCCAATCTCTACGTCATGGAGTTTATCTGGCACCCCAAACCCTGATTTCGGAAGTCGTATCTGCCCAAACCTGCAGGCATATAGAACCAAATATCGAAAGCTGCGCCCCGTGCAGGGATACTGAAGCGACCGCACGCCGAAACTCTACATCCGGTTGAAGCTTTGGTTGAATCTTTGCCCGGCCCAGGCGATCCGAGCACAAAGCACTCCGATGGGCCACTCAGCCAAATGTCAATGTCTTTGGGTTTGGGATTTGAGTGAGACTTTGTTCTTTCTCTGGCTCGCTTCTCGGACTTCGTAAGCTGTAAGATACCTTTGAGTCTAGGGCATGTGGGGGTTGAGGTTTTAAGTTTAATTGTGTTTCAATCTGCTCTGGTGTGATTCGCCGCCCAAGACCGACTAGTTCCCGAAACAACTGGCTGAGGCGAGTCATCATGACCTACTTTGAAGGCTTCGAGCATCGTGCTGGCGTTGATCGTCAGCAGCAGTCGAAGCTGAAAACGTCCAAGGACCCTGGGAAGCAGTCGAAGCAGTTTCCCAGCACCGGTAAACCTTCATCATGTTTTCAGATAATGTGGGGCGAAAATACACACGTGAGGCAGTGCACTGTGTGATTGTGGGTTCGTATACATAGTAAGTTCGCTTTGGCGGCTGCATGTAGCTGCCCATGCAGGCGTGGTACGGTTGTTGCCTACGGCAAGGTGTGTTTGCACAGCGTCTTTCGGCGCAACTAGGCACTGCAGGCATTGCCTGGACCGTTGCCGGTTTGGCATGGGATCAACATGCTTAGTGTCTTTCGGGAGATCAGGCTGCTTGTGTCAAGCCCCTCAGCAGGTTGTCAAACTAGAAGGACTCCGATAAGAGTAAGGCTTAGGGCTTACGGCTCAGCACTATTTCCGCAAAAGGAACACTGCAGATGTCGAGTATGCGCAATCACAGCACTCATGACAGAGATAGCGAACGAAAGTTCGATTTCAGACTGAGGAGGGGCAGGCGACGACTCCAAAGAAAGAATGGGATCTCGGTCTGTAGCTTGTCGGATGTGGAAGCCTTCTTTCCAACGGCTAGCAATGCCTTGAATACGATGTGCGCAAGGACGAAGAAGTCACAGCTCAGACCGACTACTCCAAGTCGTTCAAGGACTTCATTCCGAAAGTGACAAGCTTTGTGCATTGTGTTGAGTGAGGGGATGAGGCAGCTCAAGAACTTTGCAGAGTCCCAGAAGCTCCAATGCAAGATGTATTTCAAGAGCTGGCTTAAGAAGCTTCGCTTTGCTCCACAGTGTCATTTACCAGCTAGACGGCATCTGCTGCGGCCTTTGTACACACGGGCTGGGGTCAAAGGCTCTCTTGGTTAATGTAAGTAATGTAAGCCTGACTCACAGATACACCAGACATCTTTTTGCACGATGTACATATTCGCATACGACCGATGTGGATGTGCATGCGTGTCGAAAGGTATTAGGGTTGGATGGGTCTATGACCTGATTATCTGTGTATGCATGCAACGTATGCGTACATAAAAACAGCTAGACGGAGAGCTGAGCATCAAGACGCAAACTGATTCAATTTGCATGGGTACAAGCACATAGATCTATGCAATTCGACGAGCAGGTGGTTATATCGATGCACAGGTACTTTCGCAATTGAATGATATGTACATCTCTGAATCTCTTTTGCGCTCTCTTCTCTGTGTCTTCCGTGTTTTCTAACTGGTGTTCTCTCGCTGTCTTTGAGCGACGGTGTGAGAGAATACACCCCCACACTGATATCCCAACCTGCCAACCCTTGTGGTGCGAACGAAGTCGAGCACTCGTTTTCCAGTCGCTCGAAGCACCCGCAAATCATGCAAACTGTTGGTTCCGCTTCTCTGGCGGTCCCCACTCTGAAAGACGTCTGTTCGCGTAAATTTTCAATCATATGTATCAGGATTATGCACGATTCGATCCAAAACCCTGGTGATGCCGATGTATGCGCTCCAGAAGTCGCACACCTACCACAGTGTGTTTGGGAAGGCGGAACGGGACGTCGGATAAAGGCCCGAAGCGTGCTTTCAAGGTTGCCGGGTGTGAGGATTTAGGGATCATCCGCTTCTACGTGTAGATTTGCACATTTGTCGGCAGAGGACTCGGTGAAGGAGAAGGGCTACCCCGAGAAGGAGCCAGCCGTCTTCGCCGTCCGCTGGGTTCAGGCGACAGACGAGAAGAAGGCGCGAGGGCAGCTCGGGGTCTTCCCTGAAGTCGACGACCAACCTCCTACCCGACTCCCAAGTGCTCATTGGGCTTTGGGATGTTCGGGATCGGAGCTCTTGAGTGTAGGTTTGTTGTTGCTTGTCTTTATTTTGCTGATCCTGCGAACATGTTCGCAGGTCTGTTTCTGCCGGCGTCTGTGCGGTAATGATCGTCAATCCATGGACTGTTTTTTGGCACTGGGCTAATTGTTAACGGCCCTGGGGCACCAATAATTGGAGTGCGTTTGCCACACTCAGTCACAGAGCCATGCAAAGTACGAAAATCTCCGTGGCTCGAAGGTATTCGTCTTGTTGATCTTACCCGCAATCTATTCGCAGTCCTAAGTCCAGAAACTACGAAGCCCTACAAAATGCAGACTAATGCTTGAGAAACTCACAAAATCTCAGAGTCTCTCAGAGTTGTTAATCTGCCAATCGTTTGCTACGAATCGGACACGCCCAACCCTAATGGACCCGACTCCAAGCCGAAGAGACGAGGAGTCGTCACACAGCGGCCGGGCATCTCGTTCGCAGTTCCTTCGCGAGGAGGCCGGGCCAAGACCTCACAGCTGTTAGCGCTGCATAGAGACGCCTTTACCTGAAGCAGAGACTGTAGAGCTGCAGGCTATGCAGCTTTTGGAGCCTTCACAAGCTCGGGTTCGCTTTGGGCTGGGCTGTGTGATGTTGTATGTGTTTCACAGATTGTATCGCTAGCATGTCCCAAGTTGTGCGGAGACTTCAGTTCACATGTGTTGATTCCTAGCTCGTGCCAAGTACAACAGCGTTGATGTGAAGACAAACCAACCCTACGTACCACAAGTATTCCACAGTGGTGTGTGTGTGTGTGTGCCCGATTGCACGCAGGATCGACGAGTCGTCTCCGTCGCCTCTTTGGGCGCTCCGTCAGAGACCTGCGGACGTTATGCGAAGTCGGAGAGATTGGAGGCACGACCTCGGGTCCGCAGTCCTTGATCCCAAACGCCACCGGAAACTTCCAGTAGAAGGGTTCAACTTCAACAAAGCACAAGACCGAGCATTGGTCTCGAGACAACCGCCCTAGACCCGCGCACCAAGCCCCGAAACCGGAAACCGAAGCCGCAAGCCTCGTTCTCAATAATTCACAGTACGCAGAAGGTTTGGACGCATTTGTATAGCTCGGACTCAAAGCCTCAAAAGCAGCCGATCTACCGTCAGCATTCAATACCGAAGGCAAGGACATTCATGTGGTTCCATGATTCAGAGGCCCATTGAGCCTGTTGTGGCCAATGTGCCGATCTTGCTACTCTTTTCCTTGAGCCTTGAGCCTTGAACCTGCTCAAACCACATAACCTCAATATCTTTGCCAAGATCTCCGGAATCTCTCATCTTACAAGATCAAAACCTACCCGCAGGACCTTGGATGTGCTTTCTAGAGTTGAAGATACAGGTTCAGGGTTATTAGGGTCTGTTTCATAAGCTTTCAGCAACACCCTAGTGCTTTGGCATTCTGAGGAGCAGCCTCAAGTCATCGACAGTTGCCTTCACAGGGCGTGCACCGCTCTGGTAGAGGCCCCTTCAAACACTGAAACGGTTCTGGTGCTGGTCTTCTCCGAGAACACATGGGGACATCCAATGTTGCGGCATGGACCGCAAAACGGCGAATATAGAGCTCGAAGCTCGGATGCCCAAAGGAAACTCTGCAAAGGCAAGCGTGTGGAGCTGCAAAGCTCAGCAACTCAGAAGGGCTGCTGCAGTCAGTGCCAAGACTTCTGAGCTGAATAGCTGCACATCCCGGTATAAATCCTTAAGTTGAAGTGAACGAATACAGCCGGCACTGCTTGATGATCGGACAGTAACAGCATTGTTGATAATGCCACTCGGCCACCACGGGCACCACCGCCGCCGCTGCTTCCAGTGATGACAACATATCACGAAGATGACGGTGAGTAAGAAGAAGAGCAAATAAGACTGGTATGACGTGAAGGTTCCATGCCACAGAAGATGAACATACAGAGTTGCTGGACAACATTGACTGACACGTGACAGTCAGGGCAATAATTGTTGATGTAGGCATCTTCACCATGTTCATCATCCTCGCGGGCACTCTCGCACACATCTTCACACACTTATCATAGTCAACAACAACAACCACAACAACAAGAGCAACTTAGGACAGGAGTGTAACAGAGACTTGTGCGACGCCTTCCTTGCAGGCACCTGGGGAGCGGCACGGTTACAAAGTTTACTGATCGCTGCCGTCATGACATCAAGGCATCTGCCGCTTCACAAAGTAACTATAGACAGGATTGAAAGAGCTGACGTAGACGTCAGGACTTTTAGATATTGTTTTGTAGTGGTGTGACGTTGAACATGTTCAAAGTCGAAGTGTCATGCTCCGTATAAGCTCAGGGAAGATCTGTTACTTTTTGCGAATGACAACTAATTGGTTGGCGATTGTGAAGCTTTCTTCCTACGTTCGAACGCCCGGTCACGGCGATTGTCAGGGTTGCACGAAATCGCTTTCGATTGGTTGAAGTCGTGTCAAGTACATGCCGCCGCAGCTGGCGCGTGGCTTGAGTAGTTTCTGGGATGCGATGGGTTTGGGGATGAGTTGGCGTTATGATAACTGGAACAGCATGCTGGTAAGTCAACATGGGGTTACCTTCCATCGCAAGTGGGCTGTTTATGGTGCAACCCTGCCAACACGTAGCTCGACAAGCCTTCTTGTTCTGGAAGCCGCGGCCTTTCGTTTCGGAGGACAGCAAAAAAAGTGACGTTTCGCGGGACCTACCTTGATCTGCTCGCATCCAGTTCCTCGCCGAGCTCGTTCGAGTTCCCCAGCATCCCATTTGTACACGCTGAAGTCCTAAACTCAAGATTTCTCAGACTTTGACCAACAGCCCAGAACCTCCGCTTTGACCCATGAAGCCTTGAAGAAAAGCATCCTACAAATCCCCAAGTCGCACTCTTCCGGGCATGCCTCCAGCTCACAGCTTTGTGGTTCAGGATTTCGGCGGACCTTAGGGTTCAGTGTTCCAGCGGCCACTATTCCCAACATGATCATGTTATGCCGGCGTGGGCCACAAGACGTGAAAGAGGATCTAGCAGCCCAAGACCTATACATTTTCCCAAGAACGGTTGCCGGAGCTCCCAAGACCACTCCGTGAGTCTAACGTGCTTGCGACAAACACACTGTGGCGGGAGCATGAGGCAGAAAGCCATTTGAAATTCCTACATCGCTGTTTCCGATGTTAACGGCTAGCCGAGGTTGGGCCTGCTTGCGTGGATTACCGTGCAGGCACCTACTGCTCCCGCCATAGGGATATCAGGGCTTTGTCGTTGAGGGCATAGACAGAACGAGCGCGTGCGTGTCGTGGGAGCCAGGACCAATCCTTACCGTCTCGTGGTTGTTCTGTTGTGATGTTAGGGCACGGGGTGTTGGATTGAAGGGACGTTGGACCTCTGTAGGATGTGTGTGCATTTGCATGTGTATATATATATACACACACTTTATATGTAGGTGTGTATACATATATATATATATATATGTATACATTGAGTTGCCAGTTGAATGCAGTACCTGGATGTGCAGGACTCAGTTAAGTTGTGGGATCCGGGTTCGATGGTTGTGGTCTTGAGCATGAGCTACACTGCCGAGGAGTTCAAAATCAACAAAGCGAGCTGAAAGTAAACCCGACACCACGAAATCCATTCCTACTCCAAGCCTGCCGCAGGCGAATGTGACTCCCGCGTTGCGAAACATCTAAAGTCTAAAGATATGAACTCCAAGCCGCCCGTGGACTCGCCTGCTTCAACACAGCAAATATATTGCATTGCAGCGGCTCTATGCCACTGTGCACACAGCCTCACGGTTGACCCTCCATTGCGACAGCGCCCCTGCATTCTGAATACTATTGGCCTATCTACGCCTGTTCTTTGCAAGCCATAGTCAGGCCCAAACCTTTCAAGACTGTTAGATTCAGGACCAAGGGTACAGGGATGCACAGGGTTCACAGTCCTGGCCTTTGTTCGAGGCTCTGCTGGTGCCTTTGTAACTGCATGATGCCGGCAAAAGCGGGCTCCGTACCCGACCTGGATGCTCTCCGGGAGCAGGTGGGGCATTGCATGGTTTGAGGGTCCTAATGCGAAGAGCATCATGCGTGCGGCATCTTGTTTTGATGAATGCTGAAACTGCGCATATCCGTTCTGATCATCAGACATATTATGGAGATGAGGTTTAATAAACTAAGGGGTGGGTGAATCCTGTACTCCGTCCCATAACCTCGTCTGTTGCGTGACTCACACAATCGGAGCTATAATACTTGTATGTACTCGTTGGATCACAGGCCATTGGCTCGCATCCCACTCCCGGGCTGCGAGGATGTTTATAGGGCTCCCAATCGGGCTGTAAAACTTTAGCATAGACACGTAGGAGCCTTCTTTGTAGAGCGTTAAGGTGTTCTTGGTCAAGGACTTTGAGTGTCCATCTTGAAAAGGGACGGCGATTAACCTGGTTCGGTCGACGGTCTGACATTCAGGCAACTAGAAACCTCAGGTACCAAGCCAACGGTGTGTTATTTTGAAGGGCCGCAAAGCTTTTGACAACGTGTCGAGAAACGGGAACGGGAAGAGGGCTACCAACCCGAACGGCAGATGTTCAGCCCGGGAAACAATGGAAAAGATTAGCATCGTCGAGGGTGAGCTGCCCTGGGTTTTCACTCGAGCTCAGGGTCCAAGGTCTTGGTTCTGGTGTTTGCCGTCGTACACCTTAGCGATCCTAGCACAACTACGGATGGTGTTATCAGTGTTCCGGTATGCCGTATGCCACACTCTATGCCATGGCCAGGATGCTAAGGAGCTGGAAAGAATTGCAAGCAGATTTGTGGGCACCGAAGTGGATATTATCAGATACTGAAGTGACAATGTCCAAGGTTCAATGTTGCAGGCTTGTGCACGTGTGGTGCTGCAGTTCCTGTGCTGCTGTGCAAGGGGAATATCACAGGCTTGATCGACACGGTGTCGCCATTCTATACTGTAGTAGATGGAAAACGACCCTCAAAAAGGCAAGAAGCCTTCAGCAAGAAACACGACGAGCCCGAAAACAAGCATTCCAGGAGCGGTTGTGGCAGCAGCAGCTGCAGGCAGGGTTTGCAACCTTGATGGGTTGGGATGAATATTCGGGGCGTGGACTCTACTTCTGCTAGTCTGCTAGTCATCCGGTGGATCGAGGTGGGCCAGGTGGCTTCGACATAGCCAGAGAATCTTCACAGTCATCGCCCGGATTTTATAAGACACTCTCCAGTTGCTCCGCTAGCTCGATAGCTTAGGTTCCTAAATGCATGAAGCATTTGGTTGGAAGGTGTATCCTAAAGCCTCGAACCCCTAAATGTCTGCATAGGTCTCCACTGCCGAGGTTCGCTGCCCGGCACTACGATGGATCCAGCGAGCTCAACCCCACATCATTGTGACATCATTGACACAAAAGCCTTTGACTTCATAATCGTTCGGTTTAGGGTTTAGGGGACGACGCAGTTGGAGACCTGCAGCCGTAGGTTTTGCAATCAAAAGGAAATTTGAGCGCCCCGACTCCGGTGTGGCCCCCTCGTGCAACCCGAACGCGCCAAATCCAGTGCAGGTGAGAGACACATTGGAGCAACTCTGCATGTCTAGCACACAGCATACACCCCGAAACTGTATCGGCATCCGCACACCTGAAGCGCTACAACCTCCAAAACCGCTTGCACAGCACTTGCTGCAAACATCTACAAACGCTCCTGAAACCCTAGCCCCTCAAGCCTTGAAGCCCATGCGGCAAGCCCAGCATCTTGTCAATCAGCAGGTGCAGCAGGCACAGATGCAAGCGGCCATGGCCCAATATCAGGCACAGGCAGTGCAAGGCAGGGACATACGCCCCCAAATTAGGCGCACTGTGCATGGCCATGACAAGCCCCTAGCAGACGCCTAAAGGGTACGTTTGCGAAGTGTCACGAGAATTCCAACTACTACTGCGGTGTGCAGAGGTAGCTATCTATTATCTATCTATCTATCTTTTTGTATGTCTGTGTCTCCGTCTATCTGTTGCCTGTCTATCTGTCTACATATGTGCCTGTCTATCGGTCTATCTATCAGTCTATTTATGCATCGCCATCTATGTACATGCACACACACACACACACACTTTTTTTTCTCTCTCTCTCTCTCTCTCTCTCTCTCTCTCTCTCGCTCTCTCTTTCTCTCTCTCTCTCTCTCTCTCTCTCTCTCTCTCTCTCTCTCTCTCTCTCTCTTTCATACATACATGCTTGCATACATACATAGATACATACCATGCCATACATATATATATATATATATACATATATATATGCATATATATATATATATATATATATATCATGTACATATACATACAGATGTATAGGTATATCACAGACTCGTACACATACGGTACTCATACACATACAAGTACCTGTCTACAAGCATGCACTCATGCATGCATGCAGGCAGACACAGACGGACACAGACCGACAAAGACAGATACTGACAGACACCGCAGACACAGCCAGATACAGACGGAAACCGACGGACACAGACGGACACAGATACACATACACACATCTACACATAGACGCGCACAGACACACATACATGCATACATACGCACATGTACACATACATCCACACGCATGCATGCATGCATTCATACACGTGTGCATCCATCCATCCATCCATCCATCCATCCATCCATCCATCCATGCAACATGCTTTGATACATACATGCATGCGTGCGTACATGTATGCATGTATGCATATGTCGCATGCGTACATGCAGTTGAATGTTCATGCATGCGCCCATGCATACATACATGCATGCGTACGTACTTACGTACCTACATACACGCATTTGCATGCATACACATGACATGTGTGTGTGTACATGTACATGTACATGGACCTAGCCTCCTCCAACCCACAGTCTCCTCAACCCGTCGAGTAAGCGAAGAACTCTCAAGATCCCACCCCTGTCCGCACAGACTTTACACCATTAAATCTGAATCTCACTGTTTTGATAGCACATTCCTGTTGTATGCTTCGACCCGAAGTCTGTGGCCCTAGTTACCTAGTTGCTGTAGTTTTGATACTGTGCAAAATGTTTTGTGCATCATCCCCGCGAATGAAAGAAGGCGTCTTGGCAGGGCTAGAGGCTGCTCTAATATGTGCTTGACTTAGACTGAGTGACACCAGAAGTCCC